GCAAACCTTTGACTATATGACACACGCTTTTGTTGGATCGTAGCCATTCTGGGAAAGATTTTCTAGCTCGAAAAACTCTTAAACATTTTTCTAGAAATCTACACTCAAAGAGCTTAATTTGCTCTCAAAAGTATTAGGATGCCGCGAATTTTGTCATCTAATAGCCGATGCTCGGTTGTGTAATGGAGTAAAATTTGGACGTAACGGTATTTTTCTATCAGAAAATTTTGCAAAAAAAATCAAATCTACTTTTTTTCAGCATTTTGGAAACTTCAAAAAACTGTCTTTTTCGGGATTTTTTAATTTTTTTTCCTCGAAAAGTTGAGGAAATACTGGCGTTTTCCTAGCATTAGTTGTGCTAGGTCCACTCTAGGTGCGCATAGTGAAATTTGTACAATCGCTCTTTGCCTGAGAATTTTATGCAGCATAGATGGATCTCAGCGAACAGCCAAGTCTGAGAGAAGATTTTTCGGCTCAGGACTCCTTAAAAATCTAACATTGACAAGCTTTCTGTAGCACAACTTTGCAAGTGTTTACATATTTTTTTGAAGAAAATCCGTCGACTTTTCATGGATTTAGAGCAGGGAGGAGTGAAAGGAAAGAATTACATGTTTTAGTGGCTTGTACTTGAAGGCAAGGAGCTCTGGTTTGAACAAAGATTTGCGAAGAAAAAAGCACAACTAAAACTAGAAGATTTGGGCTTTTAAGTACTATAAAGGATACTGGAGAAAAATGATTTTCTTTAAGAGTTAGTTTTTTCAAGAAGAGGTTAGAAAAACGTGCATTAATCATAAGACAACCTAATTTACTACTTTTTTAGAGTAAGTTATAGTCTCCCCAAAGAGGGACTTCAAAATTTTTTGGCAATCTTCAATCTAGAAAATCCTTCTTATAATAAGTACGGTCATAAAAGCGTATGTTGTATGGCGAAAAGTTTGGCCTTCATGATATTTCTTACTGCTCTCAGAAGCTTTTCGAAAAAGAGTGTCTTGATTCAAAGATGCTATAAAAAACTTGCATTAGTGAGTCAACATGACAGTAACAAATCATTCCAGTTTCCATTTTGTTGAAATTTATACTGATTAGTCGAGTTCTCAAGACGATCTGCAAAACCTCTATTTTCTTTCCAATTTACTTAAAAAATCTGCGAAATTCACATCATTTAGCAACATTTAGTCACATCTACATAGAGGTGTTAATCACCATCCAAAAATTTTCTCCTAGCCGTAATCAAGCAGAAAAAACTGTGCCATATCCATCTGCTTCGTACGTCATTAATTTGTACGTGAAGAATTCGAACATTTTTTCCAAGAGCCATTTTTTGAACGTGCACTTTACGACGTCATCAATTACGATTGCTTTTCAAACGAAGCGAATTCAGGGCGGGATGCAATTGTTCTCTAGTTGGACGGAATTCGCTTACGTTTAAATTTTGATTCGAATCAGTGAGGAAGGGATCCATACGAGGCACATGTGCAGAGAATTTCAAAGCCTATTAACAAATGTCTTCACATTTGACATTTCTAAAACTTTGAAGAAGTTTTGTAAATGTTCAAGAATTTCTCGACGCAATTTTCAGCGATACTATGGCCCGTAGTAAATCTCCCATCAGGCCATCTCTCTTGCGGCGAATTAAGAAAAGAAGAAGTACGGTAGCTGCAGCTGTCGAAACGTTTCGGTAAATTTCGTAAAAAATAGGCTCACTCATAAAACTGTCCATTCTCCCTTTCAACATCAAACTGTTATCGAAAAACCAGTCCTGAAAAATTCAATGCCAATGAAGCTGCCGAAGTAGAATGAGCAACGAATTTTCACATTGAAACCATTTTTATATACTCTATTTATAACCTAGTAATTGGTTTGCTCACAATGACCAATTCACATCAAAGCATTTTTGTAACATTATTATTTACTTATATACCAACCACAAAACAAATTTGAAAATCAAATCAACTTGTTCAGGAGGAACTCTTGCTTTCGACCTCGCCAAATGTCAGTAGAAAAGCTGTTAAGTTGGGGTGGCTTTTATCAGATTTTCCTACTTTTTTTTCAAGCAAAATCCCTTAAACCCAATCAGCTTTAACAACACTAAAATTTGCCAAAGCTATTATTTTGACTTTACCCCAGAACTTCAATTGCTTGCAGTTCTTTAGTTCCAGTAGAGAAATAACAGCGAGCAGATCAGGTTGTACGCAGATCCAGCATGGGTTGCGAAATTCTTGAAGGTTACTTATACGAGTCATAAAATGTGCGAATGATGTTTGCACTTGTAAATAATTTAAATATAGAAATTTTTTAGAAGTTTAAGTTAGCCTTGTAATAAATAATTTTCGAGGACGTTGAGTAGGCGGGAGGACAACAAAATTTTTTTTGAATGAAGGTGCGGTTAGCCGCGCACTCCGAAAATTTTTGAAATACGCAAAAAATTGACCCTTAACACGGAATTCAGAAAAAAAAAGGCATGGCCAACAAGGGTCAATTAAGGGTCCAAAAATTTTCGGAGTGCGCGGCTAACTGCACCTTCATTCAAAAAATTCTTTTGTTGTCTTCCCCTACTCAAGCGGAAATCGTGGGACCAAATTGGTATTGTATAGTATGTTCCGTCCAAGTAGTTGTACTTCTCCGATTTCTACTCGAAGTTATCGATTGATTTGAATTGATGATCAAGCAAATTTTCTGACATTTGGATTCTTGAAAGCAGCGTCCAGAGAATCTCTACTTCTATTTTTCTTGCCATATCCAAGCCTCTTCATGGCGCTGATTCCAAATGTGTCACTCAAATTGTTTGAATTCCTCAAAAAACCCCATTTCGAGACAGTTTTGTGAGAATCGAGGACGAGTGCTCCAAATGGTCGAAAGCAAGCATTAACAGGTAGACACAATGCGTCCAATTGTGCCTGCCACGTGAAAACACGTCAACGTTAGGGGCTGCGAAAAGCACAATATTACTTCTTCAGCCATCGTGCGGCTGTCTTACAGTAACCCGACTTTGGCGTAAAATATGTTTACTGCACAAGTCACGCATTCCACGCCTATTCCCTCCAAGGACAACGTCACCCCGATTGTAGAAACTCGGATGTCGCAAGTTGAGACGTAATTAAGTGTTACGCGGTTTTCTAATGAAAAACTAGTCTCGTATGAGCATTGACTTCTTGGGCGTATCATATTTGGTCGTCAGGCTCGATGGAGGAATCGTGTCACATGGTGAGAAGGAAAGCACTGGTGATCGTGGCCATAATGAGGGAATGTCAGTTGATGCTTTTTGAAATCTGATTCAAAATCCGTCTCCCTTATCTGCGAAACTCTTTTTCAAATGAGTTACAAGACCTTTTTCAAGCGTAAGCACACTGATGAGGGTCGGCGTAATCAATAGTGTAAGATTTTCTCAAGGTTTCTTTTTGAATCACATCGAAATCTTTTTCTTCAAATCAAATCCATTCTGAATCACGCCTAGCAGATGTTCAGCATAGATTTGGTCAGCGTTTAGAGATGCCTATGAGCATCTTATCTATGACCAAGTACTCTTCTTAATGAGAGGGCAATGTCACACGACCAACCTTAATAGTTGCAAGGAATCAGGCACATTTATATGACATTATATTATGATAATATACTGGTATGACATTATACACAGTAGCCATAGCCAAAGATTACTGCGTTTTTGCTTTTTCGCACAAAAGACTTTCAACATGTTTCTTGTAAGGTATCGTCAATGTTGCCTATTTAGGAACATTGGATACTAGCGTGAGGAGTTCGGCTTTCTCCAAAAGATGGACCTTTCGATTTGTTTGAGTTTTTATTGGTTTCCCATCATGCCTGCTCAATAACGCAACAGTTTCATTTCTTCACATTACTTATGAAAAGCATGACCATTGTGCAGTATTCCTTAGTGGTCTTTGCAATCATGTCATTAGGTTCAACCGTTTTCTTCTAGTGAGCAAGTTTGAAAAAGTGGTTTGCTGAGACCTATGTTGCTGAGTGAAAGGAATACTGAATTTCTCTGATCAGTTTAAGAGAGAAAACAGTTTTGTTGGTGTTCTAAGGAAAGATACATCTGCTTTTCTCATCTGATAGTTTCTTCTTCATATGTATCGCTCTTATCATATGGAGAAAGGAAAGACTAACTAAACTAAAAATTATTCGGTAACTTTCAAAAGCATTGAAACTTGTCGTATAATAACCTTGTCGTATCACCTCCTCAACAAAAGGGTACTCCAAAACAAAATTCCAAGTCAGCTGGAGTTATAGAGAAAAAGTTCTACGCACACATAGATTATGCGCATGCATATATATGGAACGTAAATGTATGACATGGAAGTCATGAAGTTTAAAGCGTTCAAAAAAAACTATACAGGAAAGGCTCCAAGATACGTCATTCGGAGAGCTGATCGAAGGACATTGGCAAACTCTGACTTTTGAACAAATTCTGTCATCCTGTCGCCGTGCAAATGTGACCGAACATCAAAAATTTCCTTACAACGCACTCTCACACACGTTTTCGTGCTGAAAGGGATCACGGCAGAAGCTTAATGTTTGCCGATCGAGAAGCCAAAGACGCCAGCTTTTGGAGGGAAAAGGCGTCGAATGCGTGACTTGTGCAGTAAACATTTTTTACGCCAAGGTCGGGTTACTGTAAGACAGGCGGACGATTGCTGAAGAAGTAATATTGTGCGGAGAGCTTGTTCAAGGGGACGGGCCGTATGACGGAGTGGGCGTGGTCCTCGAGCCTCGGTGTTTTCTGCGCCAACTTTCTCCTTTTACAGGGAAAGTTTGAAAATCGGATTTGCGCTATAGTTATAGATCAAGATCCTAAGTACTCGGTTATGATAGTAACAGAAAATGTCCAGAACTGCCTGGACGTTGCCTTTAAGAGCATATGTTTTATAAGATTAATCAAAGAGCTGTTGAGGCACTCCGCATATCACCATTTTTTTTCTTTTTTTGGCCCAACTTTTCAAATGTGCGTAGTCTCATCGACGTAACAATTATAATTACAAATTTTATTTATCCCACGACTCGCCACTAGGAATGCCATCAAAATAATCGTCGTCTCGATTCCGACCCGATCGAAGCTTGAAAAATATCCATGTCAGAGCTGCTATAGCTGACAATACTACGCAGCCAATGCCGATTCCAAGTATTATGCTTGGCAGCTCCTTGGTATTGAAGTGGATGTAATTTCGGGCGTAGTCTCTCATTACCACGTTGATTTCAACCCAAAATGCCGGCAGGAAAACATTGTAGATCTGTTTTGCTTCCCTGCAATTATAGAGATAGATAGACTAAGCGGAAATGGCACAAGGACGCAAAGCTGCGCGGTTATCCTAATGAATTAGTGTCCTTGCGGTGCCAACAACACTTGCGCGTGAAAAATGATCATTGATTTTTTACGCGCAAGTGTTGTCGGCGAAATCACGTACTTATTATTGCGTATACTGGACTATAACATTAGTTCAAAATTAACTAAAAACACATACGTAAAGGATGCCTCATTGTAGATCGGGATTGAAAGCTGCATCCGAAAATTGCCTCCTACTGTAGAGCCGGTCAGCTGAAACGAATCGCTAATTTTCAAAGAAAATTACTATATTGCAGCTTTTAACGATAATTTTAAGCAGTTTCTGAGACATTTAAGGTATAGAGCATTTAAAAATTCGCGACGATGGCGCGACCGCGCGCGACACGCACGCCGCTGCCGGAACCCGCATTTTCTTGGTCTTTACCTCTAGTCAAATGGTTTTTTGTTTACGTATGATAGTATTTGGACACTGGATGCGACGGAGCTGAGCGTTGAAGTGATGTCTTCTTGTATGAGCGTTTTATACTCCTGTAGGCGCAAAGTCCGCAGTCCACTCCCGTCACGATTTTATAAATGAACTATAATATCAGTAACGTAAAAAATCTCTCTAGAGAAATAGAAATGTTGAAACTTTACAAACGCAAGGACAAAATCCTTTGAAAATTGGAGCAACGACTCAGTTTATAGTAAGTGTTGCAAACAGATGTACTGCAAAAATTTGGGTCAAGTTGAAAGGAAGATGCGTTTCTCTTCCTCTTTTTCTTTCCCTTTCTCTCCCTCGCTCTCTCAGAACTTTTGAATGAAAATTTTTATCGAAACTAAAGTGATCGGATAATTTCGATAAAATGACTTACCCCTTGGATGTCGAAGACACCCGGCTCATGGGTTACGTTATCCGGTTTTAGCCCATACACATTATCTCGCACTTCCTGCGGTGACCATAAGAAGTGTGGAGGTGAGAGGAACCCAGCGAATGGTAGTGGAACATTTTGGCCTGAAATTTTGTAATACAATACAAAGTCGATCTATAGCCAATGGTAATTCGACAGTCGAATCTGATTTCTGCGAAGCTGAAAGTTCGCAAGTAGAAATCTCGTTCCATTTCAGCGATGAATGAAGTTATAAAGACGACAAGTGGTAATTTGACAAGAGTTTTCACCATTACAAAATATACAAAAAACAAAATTGAAATTAAATTCACTTCTGGGCGGTAGATCGCGCCAGAGACAGCCGCCGAAAAAATTCTCTTTCACTTTATTCAGACGAAATTACCTGGCAAGCAACGAAGTGGTATTATTCCTGGTGGGAAGTAGACAGTGTTACCGTAATGTGTACCTGCAATGAGCATAAATCACTATGTAAATTATTGTAAAGTAAAAGACAAAAGTGCCAACCGTTGCAGCAAGTGTTGCACCAAAACTGCCTGAGGGAACAGTCAATTTTTGAGCAACCGTCATTGTATGGAAAGTAGGTGTGATTATTTCCACATGGCCAGGATGGAAAGTAATCCTTAAATTTAAACAGTTAATAGCATCAAGTTTAATACTGCAAGAAACTCAGAAACAAACGGCAACTATTTTTTCACTATGCGAGAGAAGAAAGGCTGAAGATGCAAGTTTTAAGTTGCAAAAAAATAAGTAAATAAAGTTAAATAATGGTGTAGGCGCTTGCAAAAAAAAACATATTGATACTGAGTGTTCCGTTTTGGATTGCTATCATCTCTCCATGATCAGAATTTTTAGAAACAATTACTCGCCATAGTAAGCCAAAGCTAATTTCATTCCAAGATAAATTATAAAATTTCCTTCCGACATACAAACAAAGATTAAGGATTAGTTGTGACCTGACTTAAAAGCAGTGTCTCGGCAAATTTCGTTTTCCAGAATCTCACCTTTTCGGAGCCTTCTCGCCATAAAGAACGCATATCTTGGCTTTTCAGCGCATGAAAATGGCAAAAATGAGGTTTTTCCGAAGCTTTCCAGGACAGCACTCAGTAAAGATACGTACAAGTGGGCGGGGCTTGGGACGATGGAGGCGGGGCGCGGAAGCTTCCGGCATATTTCTCTGAATGCGGCCTGGAAAGCTTCGAAAGAAGCTCATTTTCGCCATTTTAATGAGCTAAAAAGCTCAGATATGGATTCTCCTGACGAGAAGGCTCCGAAAAGGTGAGAAGCTGGAAAACGAAATTCTGCCGAGACACTGCGATATAGGCTTCCATGAAAACCACAAGGAAGAGATCGCTTGTTCAGTTGCTTTTTCCTAGTTGATTTCAAGCATATTTTTCAAAAACATTGACATCCATAACAGGAAAAACATTTTCGTGCACAGTTTTCAGTCTTCCACTTTTGGTGTAAGGAGAGTCACTGTCATTTCCGCAAGATACTGTAAGATTACGGTAGCCCTGTAAACATGAGTACTGTGAACTTCATCATAGCATCTTCATGAGCTGTCTACCAGTATGCTTCAATAAATTTCGTATAGATAACAGACGGCGGAAGTTTTCTCACAACTGTCTCGCAGTAATGTTTATGTTTTTTATGACAGTTACGCGATTACGCCAATTTTGGACTTCCTTAACCACTTATACCTTCCCATACTCACCACTTTCTCAGTGTTTTCGTACCGATAACCCTTGTTTAGCTCTAGCGTCGTATCATAAGTATCTTCATCCATTTTGAATTTCATTGCATCAATGCCATTTACAGTCGTATCCGAATCGTAATGCAGGTAGAAGGCTCTGTAACGATGAAAGATCATGATAATTGTGCTAGGACTAGCGAGTAGTTCATTTCCTTTGCTAGTATGTGTATAAGATTTTAACGTAGTCAGTTGTAAAGGTAACAAGGGCAAAAAAGCAATCTTCGTAAATCTTCACCTGCATGTGAAAGACTGGAACTGCTTTAGCCTGTCAGTCTTCTTTAGTCCAGGTTTTTGGAAGGTTCCATCTGGAAAAGGAAATCTTATTCATATCAAATTCATATCAATACAGGATTTTAACGAAGACCATACATAGCTCAAATGAAACTGAACCAATTTTTAAGGAATATTGAGATGCTGCCTACAGCGCAGTTTTTAAACCTAGGGTCACGGTAGAGAGCAAATTTCATATTCGGTAGTCTATGATCTCTAACTTCGGACCTTTCAAAAGTCTCATTTTTTAATGCGAAGATTTTCATACAATGTGACTTTTCTACCGTAATCTAAGGGCGATCAATAATTCTGTCTAAATCTGAGATGAAATGGAACGCCATAATGCATCTCAAGCCGAGGTTACCTCCGCTTTCAGTGATGTCACTTGAGTAGGCGTCTCCCCACCATGGCAGATTCGACATATTAGCCCATTTCTGGATTAGTGCCAAACTGCAAGTGAATCGATATTCCAAAATCAAACTAAATGCTTAATAAAGGGGCAAGCTCACTTGTCAGTATTGTCTTTTCCTGTCTTTATGATGTAATCTTCATCGCAGGTGTGGTTATACTGAAAAAAAATCATCAATAAACAAAATCCGAATTTCAAAGATTTACTATACTTATTTTTACGAAGGGTAAAGAATTACGATCGCTAAACTGTTTAAATAGCAGAAAATGCTTGGCCCATAAAATAAGAGCCAATTTTACGCACTCTTACAACCCTTAAGCTTTCAGAAGAAATAGCCAATCTTCAGAAGAAATTTTTCCAAAGCTATTTTGCTTTTTTTACAAAATTCGTAGTAATTGGTGCTAACTGCACCCTATCTGTTACAGGAAATGAAAGCAGAAAAAGTTAACATGTTCAAAGTCACTAATTCTATTAAAAGATGTTTCAACTCACATTCGGAAAATAGCCCATAGCTGGCACGTTGGGAAGTGGTATGGGATTTCCCAGAAAATTCATAAGCGTCTGAAATTAGTTGCAAAATTACTTTTTTATGACTCATCGCTACGTGTTTACCTTTGTAAGATTGCTGTTGATCAGAGTTATTAATGGATCAGGATAGGATTCGAATGACACGCCACCTTGAGTTACCACTCTAAAATAAATTTAGGTCTTCGAATCTAGATTTTACTATAATTATGCAAACTATCGCACCTCAAAGGAGACTCTCCTAAAAATAGGAGCAAAAGGTCCATCACTTTTGTTATCAATTTTCCGAATTTTTGCTGTTGTTTCATATACAACACGGACTGAAAAAATAAAAGTTGAAAAGGGAAAACGATTTTATTCACATTTTGTTAGAAAGAATACAACAAACAGAACAGTATTGACATTTCATTCTTCTTGCGCAGGGCCAAAACATAGATGTAACCCGCCCTTCTATGTTTGAGAAGCTACAGTAGCTAAGTTGAGAATTTTCTCCAGGGAATTTTTTCCAAAAAAAGAGAGGAGGAGAAACAAGTTTTTTTTAAATAAGAAAGCGTAGCGCTTGGCGCGCTCCAGAGAAATTTTTGCGATGCTTTTCAGAATTTTAGTGGGCCCATGACCCCAAAGCCCCAGAAATCTTACATAACTAACCTAAATTCAAACTCTTAATAAATACTGCATGTAAAAACGAGTCACGTACGCCTTATTTTAGAAAATATCAAAAACTTAATATTGTAGGAATCATCTTAACCTCAATACGCTTTTAGCAGCAGCATTTCTTTAGAAATAACGCAATTTATGAAATGCAGCGATTTTAGAATTGAGCCAGTCTTGAGAACCAAGACTAGCAAAATCATCTGAAAAATTTAGAATTACAATCACCATAAATGCTGGATTTCCGAGTATAAGAAGATCTTCGAGCTGACAGCTGCTACAAGAAGTTGAAGGAGAAAAGACCTGTAATATTATACATAGATACATTCTTGCGACGAAACTGCATCCTACTGTGGACTACGGTAATGCAGAGGTTCGCTGCGGGACGCTGCGGGACGCATGCAGGCGAGGAGACGAGATTGGCTCCTTCTCTTCGATCAACTCTGCCATTAAAGAGAGTCGCGCTAAGAGCAGAAGCTTCGATTTTGAAGATGCAAATTACACGGCCTAAAAGGCGGGCAACCAACTCTGTCTACATCGAGCCTGTGATGGGTCCCGTAGCGCTACTTTACCGTATCCTACAGTAAGGTGGCAGATCCGCACTCCCTTACAATCTTTTATGCATCGTAAAAGTGCTTGGCTGACTATCATTTCCACATCGAAGTATTATGCAAGTGCATTCTCAATAAATAACCCACCCACGTTTTGTTGTTTTTGTAGTAAATCGTGTTACCATTATCGCGAAATTCCACTTCTTGTTTGAATTCGGTTTCGCTGAAAGGATATGTTTGATGATTAAACTAGTCAATACACCATTTTTTCACTGATCAAGCTAATAATTTTTTCCCAATTAATATGAAGGATGTAAAAGTGCCTCATCATAAGAATACTGATACATCCATATTTTCGATAAATGTTATGGTAAATGTTTCAGCCGATAGTATACAAGAAATCATGAGAGTCGAAAATGAAGAAAAAATGAAAACGGTTGAAAACTCAAGAATAGGGCGGTTCGAGGATTTTTTTCGGGAGAAGGGGGAGTGAGGTGTGCCCTTGAAAAAAAGATGCTGCGATACAACAGTGCAAGTATCTTATTCTTATTCGTGAATAATCGCAATCAATAATCGTAAAATACGAAAAATTTGAATCAAACTCCTTTTTTGAAATTTCTAACAGGTCTGCCAAAAATTTTATATACACCCTCAAAAACAATGGGTACGACTTCAGATGCTTTCGAAAAAGTCCCAGTTTGATTTTAGCGAGCAAGTTTCTTAGTTTTTCAAAAATTCCCTGTTTCAAACAAGCTATAAATGCTAGAAACATCCGTAGTAATGCTCTGGTGGCGTTTTTCCCCATTAATCAGCAAAGAGGGAGTCATGGTCAATTTTCAAACAGATGAATACTTATAATATAAATAATTGAAAAATGCCTATATATAAGAAACTCTATAAGTAACTCACGCCCACGAGTAGGGTCCTAATTCGACCAACCGTGCCTTTTCTCCATAATAGAGCACTTCATCTGGATTTGTTATATTGAAATAATAGAAGTTGTAGTACTGTGTGGCTGGCAGGTTTGACCAATAGTATGTGGCTTTCGGGTACTCTCCATCTTTCAACTGCCTGCAAAATTTCAATTTTTTTTCCAAAATGAAACGATTGAGATTTCCAAAACTTCAAACATTTTCTACAAACATTCACTAATGATGTCATTCTTTCTTGTCTTGACTAAAATTATTAGGCGCTAAAATCACTTTTTCCGCAGATTTTTCTAGATTCGGTAGTTCCTCATAACCTGCAAAAACCATTTTGGAGGTTGTGAGGAGGATGTAAATGCTTTGTCACTATGTAGCGTACCTTGTGTAAAATCGGGAATATGTTCCTTCAACGATAAACTTGCTTGTTAACAACGAAGTGACGTAAAAAATGAGATCTAATCTTTTCATAAAACCTCGAAGAATCAGACTCAAAAAACGAGCTCAATAGACCAGACAAGATTAGCGAATAGTTGTCTAATTATATATTTCATAAAAAGTCGAGGGGCACAAAAATACTGCACAAGTGTACAGGGTGTTCCAAAAAATGTTAACACTGTTTGATCGTTAACAACTCCCTTGCTTTCATGTCTTCCGGCGAGCTTGAGGCACCATTCTGTAGAGCGAGGTTGAACTTAGATTTACAGTATAGAGCGAATCAATGTTCGCTCTTGGTTAGTGTAGGATTACGCTAAGAAATTCCAGCATGTGGAACCGTCGTGAAGTATGCCCTCTGACAAAATTTTTTCTCGAAAAATCTGAAAAATCATGTACTAGGGTTTTGCGCACGCTGATTTTACTACACAACTTTTTACGAGTGTTTTCAGCTTTTTTGACTGATCACATTTTTGACACATGCTGTGAAGTCAGTTATTACACTTTACCTAGGATAACTTTGAAAGGAAGTATCATGATAAAATGGAAATTTCATATCCAAAATCAACGGCTTTTATTACCATAGTACAAGAGATTTTGGCTTGTTTGGCTCTGTTTCGGAGCAGAAAATGGCCTTCAATGGCCTAAAATCCTTGTCATTTCCTCCCTAATTGTACAGTAACGAGAAGAGTTAGATGATTCGCTCCATACTATAAATCTAAGTTTATCCTCGCTCTACAAAATAGTACCTAAAGCTCGGCGAAAGACATGAAAGCAAGGGAGTTATTAGCGATCAAACAGTGTTAACATTTTTTTGGGACACCCTGTATGTGCTGTATGATTTTGATTTTGATTTCTACAAAAATTCAATGTTTTGAAAATTTGCATTTCTTGCCAGTATTTCGGATTATTTTCATTGCTTAAAAGATGCGCCCGTAACGAAAATGTGAACTGTTCATCTTAAGCGTTAGAAGAAATCAATATTTTTTAAATAAAATAAAAAAATTACTTTTTAAAATATTTCTGAGTATCCAAAGCTACACAAACCTTGTTATAAACATACCTCACTAAGCATCTCTATAATTATCAGAAAACTTAGGAGGTTCGAAAAGGGGATTTTTTTCTCGTGACATTGACAAATTAGCATTTATTGATAATTTTTTGCTAATCAAAAAGCTTAAGCCATTTATTACAAGATAGCAGAAATTCAGTAAATTACAGAACCGAAAAAACCTTGCGTTAAAAAATTGTTCTTACTTCTTCTTCCACAAAATTTTCTAGCCACATTGCAATACTTACTTTGTAGCCAACTACTAGTGCAAATTTTGTGAATCTGACTAACAGACGAATAACACTTCTAAACAAACAAACCTAAGATAGACCTGTGTTTTGATGATAGCTGGGAATAGCGCTAAAGGGAAGGGGACCAGTAGAAATATGCCAAGAAGAAAAACAAATAGGAGAAGTAGTATGAGTACAGCGATGCTGCAGGTGCGCATGCTTGGCTACACACTCACTTTCTCTTATCTCACTGTTCGATAGCAAGCTCGTTTACTGCCAAACTTATCAGCTTGCGCTCTTCACATTTTTCTTTAAACAGTGGCAATGTCGCATTTTTGGACCCACATATTCACTTTAAAATTTCTAAACGATGAACTTTGTTTACGAGGGTCTCGTTAAAAACGTATGGATTTCCTCATATTTTCACTGGGCTTTACAAAGTAGGGGAAGACCATGGAGAAGGACGCAATCAAATTCCGGGTTCCCTAGCAAAAGTGCACAAATTTGTCTTAGAATTCATATGTCTACTTTGCACTTATTTCTTTCATTCATTTTCATTAATTTAGCCACCGAGCCTGTTTTTATTCTATTTTACAAGACTTCCAAATCAGAGTCACAGCATAAACTACGAAAATGTTGTTTTCCACGAGTGAGGACACATAAAATTGTGAATGATAGTCAAAATATCGTAACGCGTTGACGGTAAACTTATCATTCGTTCATCTAATGTCTTCGGTAAAAGTACAATTCGCATGAATTTCTAGCAAATTCCTAGTGACTTGAAGGCAGGTCCGGGATAAAAGTCGATTCTAAGATTTTGTGCTTACCCGAGCTTATTCGCTATGCTGAATCCGAAAAATCACACTGGAGGGCGCTAAAACGGTGGAAAAGTGCTCTAAAGCAGGAGGGAAATTAGCAAGTGAGCGGGGTCTTCCCCACGGTGAATCCACGCTCCTAGCATCCGGAGCGATCTTCTCGGTTCCACTAGCCGTCCTAACATCACCACCGGTCAAGTGCAAACGCGTGACTTAATAATGGAATCGAGAAGATTGCTCCAGAGCTGGGAGCGTGAGATCACTGTGGGGAAGAGACCCCGCCCACCTGCTAATTTCCCTCTACTTCAGAGCACTTTTTCGCCGTTTTTGCGCTCTCCAGTGTGGGTTGTCGGACTCAGCATAGGCTCTGGTAAGCACAAATCCCAAAATCGACTTTTTGCCCAGATACAGCCTTTAGCCGCCGCCAACTTGCTCTACTACAGACTGCAAAAGCGGTGGAATTGCCCTTGACTCACTTGTGATTTTTTTCATTTGTAATGCGTGTTGCACATCATGTGCGATACTCGACGACTTAAGGGTCAGGCATACTTCACGCGATTTCAGTCGCGATGCGATTTGGCAACACTCCAACTGTCCATAACTCACTGTAGGCACATTCTATATTTATATAAGATAGGGCATTTTGTCAATCTACGTAAGTTATACACACTGTGCATGTGCAGTTTGCTAGTGTTGGATCTGAAGATTTCTGGCGAACTGCCAAATCGGGTCGCGACAGAAATCGCGTGAAGTATGCCCGGCCCTTTACGAAATAGAATCTTCTCGATTCCAATAAATTCACCTTATTTTTTGTCTCTTTTGGTTCAACTGGATATGTATTATTTGGTAGTAACGATTCTACGTTTTAATAGGCTAGAAAATGATTTACTGATGAGTCACTAGTAAGGGTGCCGTCAGCTGCCGCGCGTAGTATGCAGGCCCTATTAAGTTACAAACGACCCGAGGATACACAAAGCGACTGCAGAAATAAGGACTGTAGTTGGAAGTGTGCTACAGCTTGTTTCGGCCATCTCTCAAAGATGAGGAAGGTGCATGGCCCCCTGGGCATACCTCTCGCGACTTCATTCGCCAAGCAATTTGGCCATTTGCCAGATTTATTCAAACCCAACACTCGCAGACTACAAATGCTTGGTGTATTCAACTTTTGTAATTCGATAAAACGTGCTATTTTCTATGTGCTCAAATTGCATATGCGACGAGTTATAGGCAACTGGATTATTGCCAAGTCACTCGCGACTAAAATCGCGTGAGGTATGCCTGGGCCTATGTAAGTTCAGGCCAAGCGGACAACTGATATAGATAGCGTTCGCAACAAGCAGTGATTCATGCTTTGACAACAATTCTAGTCTAGAACAGTGGGAATCTCCGGGGATACCGCAGAAAATCCCGCCGAAGTACATTTCAATTGTTAACTTCACTGTATTCAGCAGCTTCCCCCTTCCCCCACCGCCCATATCGGAGGACGCATCGCACTCCACGAGCAAAGAACAGCCATCTACGCAAGTTACGACTCGGTAGAATTACGCTTATGCGGTTATCAGCAATCTTTTCATTCCGGAACCAGAGGAACTATAAAGCGCTTACTTGCAAAGTAACTAGGCTAGGATATTAGTTTCAATAAAACTTTATTTAACAATAAAACAACAGAGCATTTGTTAGAATTTTTTGTAATTGAGTAAAACAAAACAGAGGCACGTGACACAACAATAAATGCTAAACACCTCGATACAGGTAAAGCTTAACAACCGTAATAGATTTGAGCGATTTGAGTAACTTTATGTGAACACAATATTATTCTACTCTACCTTTTTCTAGATCAAACATAGGTAAGACGTGTGAGCTTCCTATAGGTGTGCTTGACATATGCTTGAAAGCAGAAGAGTCAACTCTAAGAAGAGCCTGATCAGCAGAAGTACATAGATCAGGTCCGAAAACCATGCGCTGCATTTCTTGAGGAAAATTAGCACGAATCTGAATAGAATAGCAATTTCATATGGAAAATGGCAATTTCCATGATCATAAAGATACTCTCGTTTGTGGAAGATCTGCACCGGTCGTATTCTATGTATGACAAGGGTCATGCAGTTGGATTTAGGCTTCTTAAAGGCAGTGGATCGGCAGAATGAGTCTCGTGGCAAAACAAGGGCACAGGGTAGGACCCCCATGATCAAGAGGTTCCATTATGGGGGCTCCTACCCTGTGGCCTTGTTTTGCCACGGGACTCATTCTGCCGATGCACTACCTTTAACTACCGCGATAGAATTGCTGATATGGATTTGATCACAGCGACCTTCTTTAGTTCACACCGCGATTTCCAAGCATGAGTACTGGGAGATACCAAAAATCCAACATTTCCGATATGTTAGTCCTATGCAAAAAAAATCATGCACATTACAGAAGGTCTTCGAATGAAGACGTCTGCCGTTACCCACGCCCTGTGAAAAAAGCTCTGGGAGCCTTTCCAACGATTTTTTTCAAAAAAGAGACGAGACCAGAGCGCGGCACAAGGTGGGCAAATGTCAAGGTGGAAATCGTTTTGGGATGCAAAGAGGGAATCGTTTTACGATACATGTATATGCATGCACATGTACATGTATATACATGTAGCTTTTACATGTGTCTACATATTACACTCTCTCGACAAGTTGCTACACGACTAACATGCAAAAACACAATCGTGCTCGCAAGTCATCTTCAAAAATCCACATTTTTTCATTAAGGTATAATTACATATCTCGATTACAGCGCACACATAACGATATGACTACAAATTTTAAGCATAAACGAACTGGACTGGGAGGGGCATAGTACAGAGTATTATGAAAAATTTGTGTAACCAGGGGTTGTGGCAAGATTTTTTTCTAAAAATTGCCAGAAAATGATAAAATGGGTCGTTTGCAACGCACAATGACGATGTGGCACGAAATTTGGTGTGTGTACGCGCAGTAGTGCTAAGGAACAAAGTATAAAAAATTAGGAGAAACTTATGTGAATAAAGAGCGTGCTTAACTTTTTTCCAAATTAGGTGGCCAATTACTAACCTAATGCCCACCTAAAGTGGGCAAAGGGTGAGGGAACTTAGGTCCCCTCACAGCCAACTGAGATGTAATTTCGGAGGTCATGAGTTGTCAATAACGATAATTAACACATCTGCGGAGCGCATGCTAGGCCCCGTCTCTATCCTGATACCTTTCGCAACCTAGCAGAGGTCCACTAGGACGCGCCCCGTGATAATGAAACGGGGATTTCAAACGAAATTGAAATGCAAAGTTCAGTATCGAAATTTCGCCAAACAAAGTGAAAACTTGGATTTAGGGGTTTTCAAGTACGCTCTTTTCAAATATGGAAATCCCATCTGCCTCAAAGCTCACCACGGAAAGCTTACCAAGATTGAAACAGGGAATTTCATACAAATTGCATTTGAAAAAAAATTCAGTATTCAGTGTCAAATCCTTCTGCTATTTATACGAAAACTGTCGCCTGAATCCGCCTTTTCAGCCTTTCTTTGGCATAAAATCGCCTAATTTCACGTTTTTAACCTCGTTTTGCCATGAGTAACTGCTTATTGCTACAGGCAGTAAGATCGGATTCCTGTTCACACCTCAAATTATTGTCCATGGCTGGACGAACTGTGATCATGGTGTCTCTATGTCTTTGTTTCATTCATTATCACTTACCTGAGCGTAATTTTGTTTTCATGGAATTTGCCACTGTAAAAACCCTGTAAATCTTGATACTCGAAACGGTGAAGCATCAAAATAATTCCACTAGCGAATACAATGAAATTCTCTGATATCTACGATATGTTTTTTTTTGAATTGGTTGAAACTTGATACAAAAAAATTGAATTTTTTTTACAAACCTTGTACATGTTCTTATGAAAAAATTCTCTACATATTTGGAAAGAGCTACTTGAAAACCCCTAAGTCCAAGTTTTCACTTTGTTTGGTGAAACTTCAATACTGAATATTCAAATGCAATTTTAGTAAGCGGTCCGTGGTGAGCTTTGAGGCAGATGGGATTTCCATATTTGAAAAGAGCGTACTTGAAAACCCCTAAATCCAAGTTTTCACTTTGTTTGGCGGAATTTCGATACTGAACTTTGCATTTCAATTTCGTTTGAAATCCCCGTTTCATTATCACGGGGCGCGTCCTGGTGGACCTCTGCTAGGTTGCGAAAGGTATCTGGATAGAGACGGGGCCTAGCATGCGCTCCGCAGATGTGTTAATTATCGTTATTGACAACTCATGACCTCCGAAATTACATCTCAGTTGGCTGTCAGGGGACCTAAGTTCCGTTCCCCGTGGGCAAACGTTTCTCGAATTTTTTACATGAAACTGTTCTGCTCCCAAAGTTTGGTAAAAGTACTGTTTTGGTCCCAAAACTCCTCCATCCTTGTTAGGATCCAGAATAAGCAACAACACCGGTCCTACTGAGGAAGAAAGCGCTGCCACCCTCATGCTGGGCCCTGGGGAGGGGGAGGTCTGAAAATCGCTCTAACAGCTTTTTCTTGAAATTTCGCTTGGATTTTGCATGAGATGTCAAAATGTCAAACCATTACTAAAAGTTAAACAATGCTTATGTTCCATTGCACTTTCTGTAAATGCTTAAACCGAGATTTTTCGCTACATTAGGACCGAAAAATACTCCAACTGCCTTTCAGATGGCTGTCTCTTGTATAATGCATTACAGCTATCTGCATGTCATGACAGACATAATTGCAGAGATACAAGAGACAACCGAAGGATAATATTTGTGCAGTTTAATGCATAAATAAAAGAATAAATGAATTTATAATGCAACACGATAGAAAATTCTCTGCAACAACTTTGCTATTTTTATTTATTACTGAAAAATTCTCTCCAAAATTGATACCAAGATTACCTGACTTGGGCGTCTTGAGGGAGGCTCGTAATCGAAAACCGTTGTCTGTGCATATCGCGCATGGAAACGTGGTAATCTGCGCATTACAGTGTATTTGATGCACATCCACAAGAATATTACGCAAAGTCCGAACAAGACTATGCCGATGATCAGGGAAACTGAAAACTTGTAACATGGTATCTGATGAAGTTTAGATGAGCAGAGCATTGAAGAGCAACTAACACAAGCGTCCCAGAGAAAATTGATGCACTTCTCTCGTACTGCTCGTGATCGCTATGAGTGATAATGAGAACAGAAGAATGAGAACCACAAGTGAGGCGAAATACTGCCACCAATATCTTTCAAAATAGTCTCGCAAAGATCCATACTAGAACTGTCCATTTCTTCAGATATAGGCTGACTAAAACAAAAACCATCACTAACCTCAACATACTGGTAAGAAGCACCACATACTTCGCACACTTTGGTTGTCTGTAAACGCTCCACCATGCATCCATGATGACAAACGACGCTGAAAATTTTTCATGACAAAAACAAAAAGAATGTAGATGTATTAGGTCGTTCCGAAAGTAATGTCGCTTTTTTCAATTGAACGCTACATTTCGTGGAAGCAAGATTTCTAGGAGATCTTGGTAGCATTCGATGCAGCATTTCATCCTCTTTCCAATGGCTATAACTCCACTGCAGAATACTCGATGAGCTTTTGAAAAATTACTAAAATCTCCAACTTATGCTTTCTGGGAAGGTCAAGTTTCACAATTTTTCTAATTTTTTGTAATAACTCCCGGAAGGAGTCCAAGTAATGGATGGATAGAGCAAACCCTATAGGAAACGGTGCTATTTTTTTCTGCTCTCCATATCTCGTCATAATTTTTGTAGAGATTTTTCAATGAAGTCACCGAATTTTCGCAGGTTTGTCTCAAACACATATGCATCAAACACCAATAAACTTTCGGATTCTGAGACCTACAAAAGTGGATTGTGGTTGGACACTAATTTTACAAAGCAAATGAGCGTTTGCCGCTTCAGATAGCAACTTTCGCAAATTTCGGGTACAGCCTGAGACGCCCTGGAAAACCTGAATTATGATGATTTCATCCCGAAAACTTGGTGAATCGGAAACCAAAAACAACTGGTAGAAAGAGGAGAAGAAGCTGCATCGAATGACACCCGAGTCGCTTGCCGGTTGTTGTTCTGTGAAGTCTGAGTTGACCAAATATGGGATTTGATAGCACTGAAAAATTGGTTCTACAAACTCCAATAAGCGAACTAAGGAAAAGAAAAAAATTGTTTTGTGTCCTATAGGGTTTGCTCTATTTATCTGCTACTTGTACATCTTCGGGGAATCAGTACAAAAATATAGAAAAATAGCCGAACTTGACCATGACAAAAAGCATAAGTCGCAGGTTTTAGTAATTTTTGAGAGCTCATTGAATATTATGCAATGAGATTACAACCATTAGAAAGAGGATGAAATTCTGCATCGACTGATTCCAAGAGCTCTTGAAAATCTTAGTTCCACGAAATGTGGCGTTCATTTGAAAAAAGCGACATTACTTTCGGAACGACCTAATATATTGCAAAATCAACTTACTCGCAAAAGCATGGACGTATCATTTTGTTGTCTAACCGAAAGCCAGATTGAAATTTCGTTAATGAGCTTCCACAAATAAAACATACTTGAGTAAGTTCATCACATAGCTTCACGGCCGACATCTCGCGCGGTTTCCGTAGCTAATAAAGTTAGCATTAAATACAAAATAGGTGCAAACATGGAGTTACCTGATGTTGCCAAATCTTCCCGCACTGATCACATTTGCGAGGTGACGACTTCTCATCTTTTAGAGCACAGCGAATGTGAACTTCACTTCAAAAAAATATCAATTGGATTCAATTCGTTTAGTACTCGAGGCAGCCCGAGAATTTTTTCGGGGTGAAGGGCAAAAATTTTTCCGAACGGCACGGTGTTAGCTACACCCTTCAAAAAAATTTGGAATGCTTCCCAATACTTTCGCGGAAATTTTCAAATTTTTTTCGAAAGGGCTTGGCAGCCACAATTATGGGTAGAGGACATTAAGTCGCCGAAAGGAGAGGCCGCGCAGACACTTGCAACAAACGCGCACTTCTCTCCAACACAGCCTAGTGATCGCTGTCGGCGTCGGTGAAGCCTACTGGCGACCTAATGTCCTCTACCCCATCACTACGAAAAAATTGAATTTTTTCTGAAGAATAACTTTTCGTTATAAATGAGTGAAAAATAGTTGGTAAAATTACATTTCTCATTAAACTTACACAGCTTCGCAATCACATGGTTTGAAACGATCTTTTGTAATAAGTATTATATCTCCACAAAGAGGACATCGTCGTTCTTGCAGTCGCGGATCGTCACCTTGTGAAATAGACTGTGCTGTTAGAGTGGAAGCTGACTTGACGAGTGTAGACGCCTCCGGTATGCAAGGTTCCTGCTGGAAGAAAATAAAACAAAGTGCAATTAGCAAAAGAAAGAATAAATATACTATGAAACAAACAAAGTACTTGTCCTATGAAAACAAAAATACACCCTATCTACAAGCACAGATATTTGTAGTATCGGGTCGTAACATAAATTCTGCTACACTTTTTTCATTTAATTAAAACTCTGGAAACTTTTGCAAACTTTGATATAACTTCGACAGTGGATAAAGGATTAAACATTGGCATCATTTTTACCTCCACAAAGTTCAAGTTACATCCAACACAAAGGCAATTCTGGGATCGCACTTCCCCTCAATTTTTTCCTTTTCCTTTGAAAATTCTCTTCCATTTTTGAGTTGTTGAAATTTCCTGACGTACTGATGTGAAGGCGGTTTGAGACTCTATTCTTTAACAATGCCAGTTGGAAATTTGCCAAAAATAACTCCAGAAAATTTTGAAAAATTCAAACTTTAGCTTTCATGTGCTGCATGCATATAAGGGAAAGCAACAACCTTCCACGTATGCTGAACATGAGGCATAGTTCACGAAAGTTGTGAAGATTCTCCCTCTATGAGTAACAGATCATATCTTATGACTAATGTCTAACCCTGAACAAATCCAAAAGTGAAAAGGAAAAACAAAATCCAAAAGTCGAAACAAATCCAAAAGTCCAAGTCAACTCTAAAAATGAAAAAAATCAGTTGTTTGCTAAGTCTAAAAAATTTATAATAGTCCATTTCCTTTTTACACCAAACAGAAAAATTGTTGTAGATAAATTAAAAGGAAATATACTGCCTGAATTCTGATTCACTGCGATCAACATATTATCCATCCTAACAATGAAAACAAAATGGACAGAAAAATATCAAATCAAACGTTTCCTACCTCTTTGTAACCGGATTTCTGCAGCAGGTTGCCCAGCTGCACGTTATATTTTACGGGCATTGCTGAAACTGAGTCATGTTCAAAGCTCGCAATAAGGTAGATGTAAACCAATAGATGGTTGTTGTTTCATCCGCAAAGTCAACAGGAACATAACTTTATGCAAACAATAATCAAATAATCACAGGGAGATCACGTCAAACAAGAAAATAAAAGCTATACAGCTATCGCATAGAAGAATGATGCGTAGATGACACATTGAGCACTTGGAACCATTGCGATGATGCAAAGGAAAACAAATAGTCTATTTTTAGAAAAATTCCTATCACATCGAGCACTGTTGCACAAAATGTAGAAAGCTCTCAAGACAAACCGTTATCCAGATTTCCAAAAAGTAAACAGAAAATTTTTATAATCACAGATTTGTGTTACATTACACGATAGGGGCAGGTAGCAAACCGAAAGTAATGATGTGAGGTCTGCAGTAAACAGTCATTCCAGTGGATGAGGTGGAAAAGTCATAATAGCGTTTCGACTCTAGGACTGGTTCGAGTGGTGGCAACCGCCTGAAGTACTCGGTCGTTACGTGGCATCAACGCTTTTTCTTTCTAGAGCCTATGAGTTAGGTCTGCAGCAGCAAAGAGATCGGTCTAGAGAGAGCAGGTTAAATTGATTAAAAAAAAAATTTTTTTTGAATTTAGGGAACTGAGCGCGCGCCTCTTCCCGAGAATGGTTCGCGAAGTTTTCGGAATTAGCCTTCATCTATAGCTTATAAGAAAGCGCAGCTGGTTTGTGTTCACTTCTGAATAATTCTAATTTTTCAAATTTTTGAAAAATCAAAATACCCTGTAGATATGTGGGGGGAGGTGAAGCAAAAAATTTTGTCGCACCCGCTCTAAAAAATTTTCAGGACCGTCAGTGATATACACATAGTTTTCGCACAAGCATCCGTCAACTTTCTAAGACCGTCTCTCATGTAAGTGAAGAGAGTGGCGAGATTGAAAAAAAAATAAAAATCAGCTTTCACACTGCGTATGACTGTTCATATCCGGCTTTTTAGTCTGTAATCTGAATCTCCTATACACCTATCTTCCTACAAACAAGAATTTGAAAAATGCTTGATATGTCAAGCAGATGGATACAGCTCAGAATTTGGTGAAAGTATGTTATAAAATAAGAAAAAAAATCAAAAATTGTATGTCACACCTACTTCATTTAGAGATGCAATCGGGGACCCTGGGACATCAGTCGCTGTATCTGACTCTGTTGAAGTGCCACAAGGAGTCCCAATATCTGAAGTTCGACTGTTAGATTTGTTGGCTACATCAACATTAAGAAATCATTTCTATCCGAGCGCTAAGACAGTAACGTCTACCGTGTATGTCACATAAGTTTTACCGAGTGACATCACAAGGATGGATAACTATGTTTTACAAAACGCAAACGTTCAGATATTGAAAAGAATTTGAACGCAAATGGTCATATTCGGATGCATGGTGTTTTCATGTAATCGTTGCCATGCAGCGAAAAAACTAAAGGGAAGCGAAATCAAAATTGTCTTTTCACAGCTGTGTACTCGCAATCGCAACTGTCAAGATTGGTGCAATCGGCTACGATACTGCCAAGTCATAAATCCTGCCCAGCGTTAATAACCTAACGATTTTATCAGGAAGTTTTTCAAATTTCATGTGTCTACCAAATATATCGAACACTAAAGCAATGAACAGATTTGCAAAGGTGATTTACTGAAGTATAGAATTACCTAATGCAGTTTTAGGTACACTCCCACGATTTCAAAAGTAATTACAAACCTAATCGCTTTTCCTCCACTGCATCGAACACTGATAGTGGCGAAGTCCTAAAAGGAGTAGACACAAGCATTTGGGCGCTAGCACTAGTGTAATGTGGCCGAAATGTGGACATTGTTGGCACTGAAACAGCAAAGATAGGCGTAAGACGAATTTAACGCGGAATTTAGTGGCAGTTTCTGCCGAAAACAGGTTTGAGAAAACATCAAAAATACAACGTTCCGAGAACGTGACCATAGGTGCGATGGGGTGAGCAAAAGTTCACCCCCCCTTCACTTTGGAGGTCGGACCACCCCCCCCCCCCTTCACCTGACGGACGAAATTTTTTTTGAAGGTGAGGGATTTCTGCACAATTACAAAAATATCAATGAACAAATGCATTTTCAGAAGGATCGAACGCAGATCTTATAAAAATGATCTCCACCGACAATAACATGGGCAGCGGACAATGGCAGTTACTTTGGAGGCCTGAAAGGTGCTGATGGACGACAGATTTACCTGGAGAATATTGATGTGGAATATGTTAATAAAAGACCTTGCATTGATCATGTTTTATTTTTTTTGCAAATAAAATTTTATGTCGATATTTATGTAGTACAATAAAAAAAATGGTGTTCATTTGTGTTCGCTTAATGTAGATAAAGATATAGAGCCTAGAACAATGATAAAATTAGTAGAAATGATGTCAGGAGAAATATTTAGGGCAGTATAGTTGCAGTCACAATGTTGGCCAAATTTGAGAAAAGTCAGTTTTTGAGTAAGTATAACTTGAGTAAGTTGCAGAATTTGATCTTGCGAGAGTATAGGCGTTAATAAGGAACCTTTCCTCTATCACATCGAAAAAAAAAGTAGATCCTAAGAAGTATTCCTCTTAGAGTTATAAAGTCGCAAATAGAGCAAAAATCACACCTCCAAAAATCGATTTTTTGCAAATAACTTGTTTGTATGTGAATGAAATTGAATGGGAAGGGTGTAGGTAGATTGTACTCAACAAGAGCTCTCGAATGATATATAGCATGTGGAGGTTTACTGCTTCCGGGTCGCGGGAAGGGGGGGTGATCGGTCTCAGTTGAGGGCGATCACCCCCCGCCACCTTAATGCATTGGAGAGGCGCCGCCAGGTGATCGCCCTGAACTGAGACCGATCACCCCCCCCCTTCCCGCGACCCGGAAGCAGTAAACCCCCACATGTTATATATCATTCGAAAGCTCTTGACGAGACGAATCTTCCTACGCTATTCCCGTTTTGATTTAATTACTTATATAAGAGTTATATTTAAAAAATCGATTTTTGATGGGTTTTTTTGCAGCTTCATATCTCGGCGATGGGGGCATTTCGTGCTTCAGTTTTTTTTGCGTCTTACAGAGGGAGGTTTACTGAGTCTTACCTATACCCTCGCAGAAAGATCGGATATACTGAAGGAGAGTTACAGCAAGGAATAAAAGGCGCTTGAAAAACACAGGTAAATTTGGAATTTAAGTCAGTCGCTCCCGTGGAATCTCTTTGCGAGGGTATAGGTAATACTAAATGGACCTCCCTCTTGAAGATGCAAAAAAAAAATTAAATCATGAAATGCCCCCACCGTGGAGATATGGGGCTCTGACGTGGAGGGGGGAGGGTACCTTTGGACCTCTGGAAACTATCTCACCTGGCAAAGATATTGCACCTCACAAATTATATATCGTTGTATAGCTTTTAAAGGCCAGAATCCGAATCTAGATCGAAATTGGCTTTAGCCCATTTATACAAGAGTTATACTGGAGAGTGATCTGCAAGTTACACAAGTTAGAAAAAGTGACCTTGCTTGATTATCGTCAACATCGTAGCTTCGACTTTACTGCCCTAGGAATTTCTCCTGACATCAGTTATACTAGTCTTATCACTGTGCTACACTGTGTATGTTTACTCTGCTTCAAGTGGACACAATTGAGCAACAAATTTTCTTTATTGTATTCCACAGATACCGACTTACGGATTTATTTGCAACGATAATTCCTAATCATCGCGGAGTCTCTTATTGACATTATCCACATTTGTACGTTCCAGGTAAAACTTCATTCAGCACCTTCCAAGACTCGAGTATCTGCCATTGTCCATTGTAATTTCCGGTCGAAATCACATTTACACATTACACGTTCCACCCACCTAAACATGCATCTTCTCACCGAAAAATGGTGTATGAAAATGAGACAATATTTTTATAAATTCAAAACAAATTACTTATAAACATTTCACTAATTATATTTCATACAAATCCAATTTAGAGAATTTGACCATTTAAACTGGATAATTTTATAATTTTCACCATTTTTTCAACCCCCCCCCCCCTCCGGTCGACGCCGAAACATTTCCGACACCCTTCACTTTTGGGGGTCAAAATCAGCTGGGACACCCTTCACTTTCGAAGGACCCCGATCACCCCATCGCACCTATGAACGTGACGCAATGATGACATGAAATTGAGTCAGTCGTATAAATCCAGATTATGAGAAAGTACAAATCAAGTCTCAAATATGATACTTTGAATCTTGTACATCAGAAAACATTGGTCCGAAGGTTCGTGGATCATATTGTAGTTTTCTTGGCTTATTTCTACTGATAAAGGGAAACTAAGTCATCCGTTTTCTGTGGAGATCAAGAGATGAATGGACGGATGGCTCTGCGGAATGGAAATGCTGACATTTTGGGTTTAGTATAAACTGAGACAAGTCGGCACGTAACCATCCAAAACCTGCTGGAAAAATCAGGAACACAATGCCAATCTTACCTTCGAAAGTGTTTTCATCTCCATTAAATGAAGCCGTTAGTGTACTGACTAATATCGCTGTAGACAGATTGGGTCCAGCAGCTAGTGGTGTAGCATTAGATGCGCATGAAATTGGAGAAACGAGTATAGGACCCTTGAATACAGTAATTTATTCAGATGTGCTTGCAGTAAAATATCGCGTGAAATCAACATTCATCTTTTTGTCATGAAATTCAAATTTATCTTTTGCAGAACCTTTATACAGTTCCTACCAACTTTAGCTGTCACTTAACCTAAAGTGAATCGGCCTTTCGAGGAAAATGATAAAAGATACCACGCATCAAATTTTTGGCTATCTCAAGATCAAAGCAGTCGGATTGTCTCTTCGTCTTCATGATTCAATAATAGTTCGCTTTGAACATTACCAAAAGTTTATTTTCAAAGTCCTCGAGATCCCACCTACTAGAAAGGAATAACCAAGCGTTTTGAGCTCTCCTAAAACTATAGCACATCAATACTTCCAGCAAGAGAATCTCATGGAATTGTTATTATTAGGTTGTCAAGAAAATAATGTCGTTTATTATTTGCTTGCTTTAACAAACCAATCAGACTCAACCCAACAAAGGTTAATGGGTATTGTTCGATAGAGCAAATCTAGCTTTACAAGATGGAGTTTACGATTTTGTGCCAAGCTTGATCCACGGAAAATTCGAACTCAAAATCTGGAGATTTCCAAATGCCCAAAAAACCGAAGAAAAATCAGATCTTCGTCCAAATAATTTCTACGGACCTCCTACTCGCACACGTCAATACTTCCGATATGTGATATTAATATGTGCAGTTGCTGTACTTTTTCGTTAACTAGAAACTGAGAGAACGAAAATTTTCGTCTTTTTCTAAAAGCAATGCTGAGCCGTTCTTGCATATGTGATTCCATACTACAGGCCTAGGTAAGTATAAGTGTAGATAGTAGTTTTCGAGAAATGTCGCTTTTAGCACTGAAAATGAAAAGAGGATAGCTGATTGATATTTCTTGAAAACTACTGCTCGGAATGGGCTGAAAACTTACAATTATACTTACCTAGGCTTGTAGTATGGAACCACATATGCAAGAACGGCTCAGCATTGCTTTTAGAAAAACACGAAAATTTTCGTTTTCTAAGTTTCTAGTTAACGAAAAAGTACAGCAACTGCACATATGGGTATCGCATATCGGAAGTATTGACGTGTGCGAGCTGGACTTCCGTAGAAATTATTTGGACAAAGATCTGATTTTTTTCGATTTTTTGGGCATTCGGAAATCTCCAGATTTTGAGTTCGAGCTTTCCGTGGATCGAGCTTGGCACAAAATCGTAAACTCCATCTTGTACAGCTAGCTTTGCTCTATCGAACAATACCCAACACCCTTTGTTGGGTTGAGTCTGGTTGCTTTGTTAAAGCAAGCAAATAAAAAACGACATTATTTTCTTGACAACCTAATATTTTACACTTATTCACGACTAAAAAGACCCAACCTACCGCAGCAGGAGTTACAGTTGGTAGTCGAGATGAACGGAATGAAATTCCGGTTGCCTCCACCAGTTGCGGATTCAAATCAAGTATAGCATCTTGGAGCGGTATCACAGTGTCTTCCTTGATTGGAACACTCCAACCACAGCACTGCAATGAAGGAGACCATGTTATGATACGTGCGAGGGGAATGGTTGCTCAGTACTTACAAAAAACTTTTTCAGCTTTTTCTTGATTAGCAGAGGACGAAGCGACTCGCTCAGACGATTATGTAGCCGACTACTAGTCTCTTCCTCTCTGTCCAACTGATCAATTACATATAGTTTCTGGAAAAATGCATCCACTTTTCACAATTCATGGCACCGAATTGTAAGACTAACAAAAATGCGTGAAAAATTGTACATAAGAAGAATCTCACCATATTTTTCTTCTGCCACATATAAAAATCCTTCGAGTAGAACATCACCATAAACACCACCCAGAAGCCGAAAATGACTATGAGAAACAAAGCCATTAACCCCAGCGCAACTATTTCTGGAAAAGCAGGAAGCAAATACGATGTAATTAATCTACAATTCACAGAATTGCTCCCAGCTACCGCAAAACGTAGTTGTCTTGAAAGATTTCACTGTACAATACAGCGCGGCTGACAGCCAAAGTTTCCTTGGATGACCGCAAGTGCATATACTGAGACACAATGTTACGAAGTCTTGTAAAGGCAGAAACAATTTGGAACATACGCACGCAGAAAAGGCAGGCACTTTTTTGAGACAAGGTCATGTGATTGACAACCAACGTAAAATTGACTGTGATTACGCTCGAAGACAACAACTCACCGTGTACTCGTTCAAAATCGCCCTTTTCATTCACATACTGGAGTTTCTCAGCAGCACTCTGTAGGCAGAGAATGGATCCTCCAATTGTAAGCGGCAACAGAATCAAGAGACAAGCACAGTCTCCCGCTATACTATGACCTTCACTACTTGCACCATAGCAATGCCAGTTATCACGAATATATGATAGGAAACCTTGCTTGCGCCTGAAACAAAGCTTGGTGCATTTTGCCAAACCAAAATTGAAGAAGTTTTGAGTTTAAAGGTTGAGTGATTTTCACCCCACCATCAGCGAGCTAGGGAACCCGTATACGCTGAGAAAAGCCCAAAAAAGACCGAAAAAGCCCAAAAAAGACCGAAAAAGCCCAAAAAAAGCCCAAAAGTGCCGAAACGCAGAAACGAACTTTAGGTAGAATTTTGACATTTTTTTGATGTGTAGACGACAGGAAATGAAGCAAAAAGACTCGGTTGTGAAATCAACACACATCCCTTAGCGGCAAAACGGAAGGGGCGTTTCGGCTCTTTCGGGCATTTTTTGGGCTTTTTTCGGCGAAATATGACGGGTCCCTAGGCGTTCAAAATAACAAACCTGCACCTGCTCAAAAGACAAATTGGTACGCTCAACAAGACTGATCCTTTGACGACAAGGCTTTTACTAGACACCACCACCACCAAGTCTTTATCTTTTCAGTACCCCAAAGTTCTTGACAATCTGAGACCATGTCACTCCCATAAGGTAAGTAATTTTGACCAAAATTTTACCCCGCCCCTTCCCCACCTTCCTCCAAAAAGGCTATAGTGAGTACTTTATGGGTTAGTTGCGGCAGCTTCCCTAAGTTCATGAACCTACGGCGAGCTGCTCAACCGACTTTTTAACGGCCGCAAAACTTTTAGGATGACATGGAACCAGCCGCTACAGATGACTGCCCAAAGGTCATTGATTATCATTGGCTAATTACGGAACACAACGCTCCTTTACTTTACCACTATTTATGATTTCTGGACTGATGAACCATAGTGAAAACGTTTCGTCATAGGTCAGATTAGATTTGTACTGTAGAAAAGCAAGACTTTTAGCTCTGCAAAATCAAGGCTTTTAGATTTAGAAAGCTTTATCAGTGAATCGTCAACGCGGTTGAGGACCACGTGAATCTCAACTTTTCCCTAAGTGATCGTCAATACGAGCCTTTCGTCGCACTCCCAAGAAAATATAAATATGAAAGACGCCACTTGATCAGGCACGCGCCATACTGATTTACTTGATCCGCTTGACCCCATCCATTTCCCTATTGTTAAATCATTGAAAATGACCACAGAGAAGTGAATGAAGGGAATCAAGTGGATCGAGTGGACACCGCTTTCCTGTTGGCCAGGTCACCGATCTGACCAAGAGCGGAGCGGATGAAGCGATTCAAGTTGGATCAAGTGGAGTGCCCTCATCGGAACTTCGAGATCAACTGAAATAATGCTCGAAAACATAGAGCGAAATGGTAGCTTCTATGTGAGAAAAAAAACAACTCTCCACCTAAAGCTCAACGTACCTTCCAACTTCGTATCGAAATTTGCAGATTTCACACCAATAAGTTCGCGAAATGGATAACCAGTGTTCCAGACAGCTGCGGTGATACAATCCCATTGTTCCCCTAGAAACATGCTCTAGTGAGAATAAAACTGCTACTAAATTGCATGTAAGTAGCAAAAATTTATTCAAATTTTAAGTGGTACAGACTGGGTTGGACGCTGCAGGTGAGAAGTCCAAATCATAGAAGAACGAGTGAACAATTCTCAAAACGACTGGAACTTGGTTGTTTTCCAGCACGAAAATTAACGGAAAAGGGAATGCTAAACCATATTGTTTGAAAGCACTTACTTGCAGTGGCAGGGTGAGATCAAAGGCTCTCCAGGAGATTTCCCGAGATAAGGAATTGATGTTTCTCCACATAAGCATACACGACAGACGGCAGGACCAAGCGAGGAGTTCAATGATGTTGCGAGAACTGGCATTATGTAGAGGGCGACTGAGCTGCAAGCGTGAATTTGAGCTCTTGCTACAGGAGCTTATGCTGAGGGCTATCGGATGTTCGAGATTTAAATAATTCCACTGAGTTATAAGAATATAAGAATTCTTAAGATGACGCATATGAAAGCGCTACAGAACACACCGGACTGCAGTGCAATTGACACGACTACAGTATCGATCATGGATCTGTGATCTGAGCGTTTGGAAATCCAGAAAGATCACAAATGAGAATCGAATCAAATCAAATCCACAATTGCTGCTATATTCTGCGTCAAACAAGTACTTCCTATCGCCTGAGAAACACATATGCGCAACGTAAGGAGCTTGCGTGCGGAACTCCAACTGATGAGGCATTTTGAATGTGTTAGCCGTACGCGCGCAAACGTGGCGCGAAGCCCTGGCGTTGCAATTGTGCTTATGGAAAGGAGAGCACGTGATTGACACAGACTGTACCTCTGCTCTACGTCTCTGTCCTGCGGCACGTATGGCTAGCACGTTGGCAGTACGCAACAACATATTGACAATGGGGCTAGAAGCCAATACGTTTTGCCAGGGTGTTGTTGCATGTTGCAAACATGTTGCTGTTGCCAAATGTAAGCCATACTGCCGCAGGTCAGAGACGCAAAGCCGGGTATAGATGACTGCACGGAATCGCCAAAGTTGAACGTCCCGAGCGTGTCTCTGGCGGGCTACCATTGGCATTCGCGCGCATGAGTCATAATAGCGCCCGTACCCAACAACCGCATTTCAGGCACGCTCGCGTGCGTTCAACCTACAGCGATATGAGCGATTTCGTGCAGTCGACTTTAGCAGCATTTGTGGTGGGGACGATAAGAGATGAATTAAGCGGGGGGACTACTGGTGCTGCGATGACATTTCACAACGTTGCAAAAGGATCAGATGCTGGCAGAGGCGGCTCAAAACTGGCGGTGTTCGTCCCCCTACCCAAATGCCGGCAGTTTGTGCGTGAAAAATTCCGCCATTCCAGGCGTTATTCTCAGATTCGTGATTGCTGCTACCCCTGCTCTGAGTCTTTGAGATGCAGTACGTGAGTTTACAAAGATAAGCTATGCAACAGCATGTTAGCAACAACGTGTTGACAATTAGCCTTAGGTCAGTATGATGTTGCATGTTGCACTGCTGCGTGGGAAGGGGGAGCCGTGCGCGCCTTCTATGCGTGCCGGGACCCTAGTCGCCTGCAGAATCAACCTTTATTTATTTATTTACTAGCTGGCATGCCCGGCTCCGCCCGGTCCTTTCAGCACACTACGATAAGTCTCACTATCCTATCCTGTACAACCTTTCACTGTCCCACTTCTACGTGCCAGTTTCTTATCCCCATTTTGTTTTCGTAATCAGCATGCCTACCTCTTGTGCCAACTCCCACCCCATAGCTCAAACTTTGCAAAAAAATTGATAAAATCGATAGAAGTAGTAGATGATACTAAAAACTAATATTGTATTCGGTATCAGGATGCTCAATTACCTCCCTGTGCCAACTCCCAGCCCCGTAGCTCAAACTTTGCAAGAAAACCAATAAAATCGATAAAAGTGATGAATAATTCCGGAAACTAATATGATATTCGTAATCAGCATGCTCAAACACCCCTCTGTGCTAACTCCCAGCCCCGTAGCTCAATTTTCCAAGAAAATCAATGAAATCGGTAAAAGTAGTAGATGAAACTAAAAACTAATATTGTATTCGGTATCAGCATGCTCGATTATCCCTCTGTGCCAACTCCCAGCCCCGTAGCTCGAATTTTCCAAGAATCAATAAAATCGAAGAAGTAGTAGACGATTTCAAATCAAAATTGGATTCGTAATCAGCATGCTCGATTACCCTCCTGTGCCAAATCCCACCCGTGGGTGAACCCTGTAAAAAATCGATAAAATCGATAAAATCGATATCGATCGATGACGAAATGTAGCCTATGACGCCCACCCGGCCCCGAGGTGTATGTGTGCAAAGTTTGGTCCGGATCGGTTCAGAAATGGAATTTTCTGCGGAACATACGTACAGACAGACAGAACAGGCATACAGACAGACAGACCGACATACATACAAACAAACATTCAGCTTTGTATATAAGATTTAGTTACATGGGCAAGTCCAAGTGGGCAATGAAACAAAAGAAATTAACGCCGGAATAGTTGAAACGAAACTACAGTCTGCCCCAATCCTAACCAGGCCAAAATTGGCATGGCGGGAACCCGCGTCGCTAGGGTTTCGCGGTCACGCCCACGGCCTGCTTCTCTGCTCTCTCTTCAGTCCTTTTGCTCTCTCCGACAGCGCGCCTATGCAGCGCAGACTGCTAGCGCTGCGAGCGCGCAAATTCACGCTGACGATTCGGCCTGTTCCCAATTGGAGCAGACTGTAGAGACACAGCAGAACGATCTGATGCTGAAAACAGATAGTTCTTGAAGGCAGCGTCCGGGCAAAATTTCGAACAAAATTTTTTTCGCTTACAGTCGAGTAGATTTTCCGCTTAATATGGTGTGCACAGAAGGTGAAATGCGCTAAAATTTGCGCGTGAAGAAGTAGCCACGCCAGTATTGCCGGCATTTTGCGCCCGCAATTGGCCGGCATCACGCTCGAAACTATTTGTTTACGCGCAAATTTTACCGCATTTCACCTTTTGTGCAAGCACACTATATTAAGTGGGAAATCTACTCGACTGTACCTGGGCTTAATCTTCCCGCTGATTGCGAAAATGCAGCTTGCAGAGTACGAAAATTTCGAAAATGGGCTATTCCAGAAGCTGTTGATTTTGAATATGGAAGCTTGCCGCCGAGGTTAACGCAGAGTCGTGGTGGGACCCTACGCATTGACTGTGTGCAACATACGTACTCTGGCTATCAATTGAGGGGCGGGCAGGTAGCCGGGGCGTCCCGGTCGCCACTTCTGAAGCGATTTTCTCGCTTCAGAAGCAAATTAGTGCACTGCCAGTTGGGCAAGAGCTTTACCAGGACGGGAGCCCCTGTACGCCAAAATTTCTTATTTACCCGGACGCTGTTTTTAAGAGTAGCTCTAAACTGAGTAGCTTTTACGGGAGCATCTGCATTCTTAGAAGCTTGTCAAGGTCACGGGTGACTTTGTTTACGAGAAAGTTCTTCCTCACATCTTTCTCGTTCCAAATATTACAATCTTACTTGGACGGTCAGGAATAACAATAGCTCTGCCAGCCGCTAGCTGCCAGCTGCTCGCGCGCGCAGAACAGCCCGCCCTCATTCATTCATGGAAATGAGAAAAATGATTTGAACTTTAGTTCTTTTCATTGAAGTTTGTTTCCTACAACGATCAAAGATCTTGCATATTTTACATGCTAGATTGAGCCCAAGACATTTCTATCGCGTGTTCATAGCGATGTGATTGCTCTTATTTCCTTTTTTAAGAAATAGCAGAAACCTTAAAATAGAGCCAATTTGAAGAAGAATGAAGCTTTAGGCATTTACTGCTCCAAAATATAGGGCCTGCGTGAGCTCGTCCGCTGTTGGGGCGGTGCTAGCTGTGCACCGTTTATTGACAACCGGGCACTAAGGTGCCATTATTGCCAGCTATCGTTATTCTTGACATATACCGTTGGACCACTCCTAGATATAGAGTTCCTGCGCTCAAAGAGATCCGCTGAATTCATTCGAAAACCTCCAAATAAGGGTAGGGGAACGAAAGTTGCCAGTTTGGGCCGCCTCCGCGGACTGCCGGTCCTGTAACGACATGCAACAAAGCTGCAAAAAGAGCAGTTGGCCGCGAAAGACGTCTAAAACTGGCGGCTTTCGTTCCCCTACCCTCCAAATAATATTTTATGTGTTATCAAAAGATCAAACTTTCGTCGTCTAGTCCTCAGATTTTCCAGCCCCAACCTTTCATTGCGAATGTTGAATTCCAGTAATTGACTGTACACAAACCCGGCATTACGTATCAGCAATTTTTCCTGGTGAAGCTGTTTTGAACATTCTCTATCCGGTGGCAACGTAACTCAAAGAAGAATTGAAAATTACAGTACCATGTTCAAGTAACGGTGGAATGTAAACCTTATAAGCTCGAACCAAAATTTCCATATCATTAGTTGTAAGAGCTCTGAAAAGGTTGTGTACAGCAACGGTGCCCTTTCCAGCGATTCCCTCACAATGTTTGTTGAAGGAGAGCTTATTATCCATCAAACCATCTGACCACAGCATTCAAAGCTCCTTGCAATCTCCTGTTCCCGAGGCCTGATACACCAGTACAAAGTTTGAAATCATCAGCAAATGCACAGCATGAAATTCCAGTGTTGGAAACAAGTTCGGGTAGTTCGTAAGTTTGAATATTGAAGAGGATTGGAAAAAGAGCCCCACCCTAAGGTACACCATTGGTCATATACATTGGACTGGAAAAAGCTTAATTTACACGAACTCTGAAAGTAGATAGAAAGACTTGAATCCACGAAACAGTACACGGGTGCACTCCGACCATTTCTAGTTTGTAAACTAGATGCAGAACCTTATCAAAGGCTTTAGTGAAATCGTATACAACGTCCGTGGCTTTGCCAACATCTAAGGAGCGTGTCCAATCATTCAGGGATTGCAGCATTGCCGTCACCGTCGACTTTCCTTTTGGAACCTATGCTGTGCAGAAGCTATGACTTCATGGAAATCAAGATGCTTTATTACATGTTTCTTTAATATTTTTTCAAAGAGTCTTGCAAAAATAAATGTAATGCCGATGGGGCGGTAGTTGTAAGGTGGGTGGGGTTTCTTTTTAAGAATAGGGTTTACAAAAGAAATCTTCCACCTTTTTGGAACCTCGGATCTCATCAGGGTTAAATTGTATAGAAGCTGTAGGGGACTCACGATCAAATGTGCTATTTCTTTGATCAAATGTAGTGGTATGTGATCCGATGTCAAAAATTTGGAAGAAGGCCACTTACGGAGAAGCTCATAAATTATGTTGTCATTAAAGTATACAAAATCTTTCTACCTCAAAGCGAGAGGTAGCATGATGGTGTAAGTCAGTGCATTCCCTCACAAATACACCCTTAAAAATGTTTGTACAGCACTCAGCTTTGTCTTGATCAGCATACAAAGCAGTACCATTATTGGAAATGACAACTCTCAATTTGTTTCCCTCCTTGAACCTTCTATTTAGAAGTTTGTAAAAGGGTGACCTATCACCAGAATTGATTATCCTCTTTTCAAGTTAGCATTGTATTTGTTTGAGCTTTTTAACCTATCGTTGATTTTCTTATAAAGTTCTAGTGCGGTGGTTTAGTAGATTGCACCAAGCTCTCGCTCATAACTTAGAGAGGGACACAATGTGCCTAGGCAACGGATCCGTGTGCGCTGGTAGCTTTCTCAAAGGTACAAATTGATCAATGGTGTGCTCCCGTCATATCCACATTTTTGTAGTCTCTCTTATGGACAAATGAAGCTTGAGGCTTTGCTTTGTAATGCATAAAGATGTTTACAAGATCGTGGTCACTTGACCCCACCGGTGGATCGACCCTTACATCATCGACAACTTTTTCATCATTGGTAAAAATCAGATCCAAAATATTTATTCCTAATGTAGGCTTTTCAAGCCTTTGTAACAGCTGATGACTTCTGCACATACTCACTAAGGATCTGGCAGTAGGGTTTGTCCTGAGATCTGATTTTACTCCCAATTAATGTAAGGAAAGTTGAAGTTCCCTAATAGAATAGAGGCATAATTGCAAGCTACCAAGTTTAATATGGCTTTTATCATTTGTTCGCAGTAACGACTATGCAGGTTGGGGCTCTGTACACCAGTACAAAGCGTATTGGGACTTGCCAAAATATGATATCAACGTTGGGCAATTTATAACTATCAAAAACTGACTTATGATAAGTTGGCTGAGGACACAGTTCACTGTTAATCAACAATGCAACTCCACCACCCTTTTTGTTTTTCCTGTCACATATATAGATAGTGCTTATGGAGGTGAAATGTCCAAGTAAACAAGAATTGCTAATGTTACAATTGTGCCACGTTTCCTGTGAGCGCTACAACGTAAGGAGTGGAATCTTTGAGAAGGAAGATGAGGCTTGAAACATTTTTAGACAGTGACCTGATGTTTGTCATCAGAGATAACAATGAACTATCCACTTTCCGAAGATTGATCAATGGTTTAAAGAATCAGGGAATTGCAAAGACAAATTATGATTTGAAGAAGCTACTCATGCTATTTGTACGAACATCAACATTAGTAACAACATTATTACGAGCTGGGGAAAAGGAAATGGGAAAAGCATTAATTGTGTAGACGTTCAATTTTCAAAGATTTACCCAATAATCTGAGAAGATTTTTGCCTAGAGATGTAGCTCACGATCGTCACTGTCCGTAAGGCAACTATAAAGACTCAAAAAGTAAAAAGGTGCTTCAATTTTGCAATTGTTGTTATGCAAAGAATTTTTTCCACGCGAAGTTACCGATCTTGAATAGAAAAACTTTCGAAATGAGTAGTTGCTTACAATTTATACCTGATATCAGCGTTGTGCGATGAGTTTCAAAGCGATTTTTATGCGGAAAAGTGAAGCCTATAGATAGTAGAACCAGGCAAACCTCTGCAGCAGAGGTGACGCCCTGGTATCTACATAAGGCCATTGTTCAATAATTTTACACTTCTGTCTTCATTCGTTCCACTAGTGGTCGGCTAGCATTTGGCTCTGGCCTACTTCAACGGTTAAGGATAGAAGAGAATGAGTAGGCGGTAGAATAAAGTGGCTGGTTCCGTCATCAAGGTTTTTGCACTGTAGACCACTGAGTATGAATAAATGAATGAATGAATAAATAATTTTTAAATTTGGTGAAAAATTACTTGCGAAATCAATTACTTTGACAATCATGAACTTTGAGCAGTACACTTGTAGCGGTGGTATCCGGCCAAATTGCGGGATTTGAATTTGCGGATTAGTTATAACTTCATCTTGAACAACTTTATTTGGAATCGGCAACAAGATTTGCCTTCAGCTTGATGAGACGAATCTTTTAGTATACATCATGCCCGTTTTCCATGGTGCATTGTATTTAATGATATGTGTTATGAGTATCAACATGTGTTGTTGCTCATATGAACAAATTTTGAAATAACAGAGTAGTATCATATGTCTACCGTATCACCATAGACTACGGGCACAATGTATACTAAAAGCTTCGTCTCATCAAGCTGAAGCCATATCTTCCTGCAGATTCCAAATACAGTCGTTTTAGAAGAAGTTGTAACTAAATCCCGCAAGTCCCTCAATTTTTGCCAGATTTCACCGCTACAACTGTATCTGCGCAGTCAAGCACGTGAGACTATTCAAAATGCGCTGCTGCAGTGGGTGAAGAAGCAGTCGCCTAAATTGCGACAGATCGTTGTTGTAGCGCTTTGAGTCAGGACATATGATCATTACCGTTCGAGACCGAAAACGCTTATTATTTACTCTTCTCCTATTATTTACTCCAGGTATTTAGACCCAAGTTTTCTGGTTACTATCTGATAGAGCTCTGCTCTTTATCCATATCCATCCATATCAGTTTACCTCAACTTTCATACGTCTTCGGAGCATACAATCTATGACATGATTTTTGGCCTTTTATTGCGCTAAAAAATAGTAAAATTTCAAAGTTTTTGCTCTTTTTACCTAAAAAAAGGGAATTTCCGGATGCTCGATACATTGTTCGAGAAAGCTTGAAGGCTCTTTCGGATGTGACTTCACCGTATAGCACCGCGGAACTGAAAGATGTTCAAAAAACCCTGTCCGAGTTCTTCGAGCAGCCACGCCTAGACTTGTGAGAGAAAAGCGGTAGCGCGCCACCAGAATGTTAGGCGAAAGTAGCTCAACATTCTGGTGGCGTTAACATTCTTGAGTGAAGTTTGAGTTTCAGCCTGATATTGTTGATCAAAATCACAAATCTGGAAATGTAGAAATTTCAAGCCATCCGTCAATCTCCAACCACCCTAATAGCTGAGCCGCCAAAGATTTGGACTTTGCAGAAAAATCCGAGAACGCCAATACATAAGTTTTAGGCCCGTATGCACGTACATCCCAGCTGGGGAGGGGAGGGGATCTGAGAGGGAATGCGTCATATCTCGCTAGTCTGCGTACCTTTCTTCTTCCTTTTCTAACTTGCTCATGAAGGTTCTCATACCCTTATACCAGCGCATGATGGATGCCAGGTTACTGGCGTGATTGACTAGATTTTCACTATTTTGTATGATCCCCTGGGGATTCCCAGGAGATCCTCTGGGGATCACCTCTCATTTTCAAAGTGATTCATATTCCTGGGAAGTCAATGAAGAAGCTGTCAGATTGTACTGAGGATATACTACGGCACTGCTAAGCATATTTTCGACAGAAGAAATGTAATCTGAAGATTGCGAATTTTTCGATGATCCCTGCTCGCGAGCTAGGGATTATCGAAGATATTGATATCCTGAGATTTCACTTTCTACTATAATCATCTTTAGCAGCGCCGTAGTATATCCACAGTGCAATTATACAGTGTTCCATTTAGTTTTCAGGGAGATAACTGGCATTGAATTTGAGAGGGGATCCCCTGGGGATCCCCTAGGGATTCGCAGGGGATCACACAAAATAGTGACAACCTAATCAATCACGCCAGTAACTTGGCATCCATTATGCGTAGGTGTAAGGGTATGAAAACCTTCTTGAGCAAGATAGAAAAGGAAGAAAAAAGACACGCGGAGTAGCGAGTTATGACGCATCCCCTCTCAGATCCCCTCCCCTCTCCAGCGGGGATGTACGTGCATACGGGCCTTAGACCTACTCTTTGCAACTGTGGAAAACTTGTGCTCTTTGAAAGTTTCCTTCAAAAGTTATGAATTTCGAGTACTACAGATAACTCCAAAATTGATCAAATTGTCACTTTTCTTGAAAAACCTAACTTCTCACAGAAACGTCGAAATTGCACGAACTTTTCACACTTACAAAGAGCAGGTCAAAAAACTAGATCTTTTTGCAGCGTTCCAAACTTTTGGTCACCTAACTCAGAATAGTCAAAGCTTATATGGTCTTTTATTTCCACCATTATCTCTGCAGTCAGTGTGAA